GCTCCTTCCGACGACGGCAGCAGGCACTGCGCTTGCTCCTCGCTGCGGCAGTGACGCGCTCACACGGTTCCCGCTGGAGCTGGCTGTGCTGCCCACACAGAAAGACACCGAGCACCCACTGCTAACCCAGTCGAAAAACACAGATACCCAGCACTGATTTTTAACTGGGTTGGAACACGCTAGGCTGGGGGTCTGTCAGCCTGGATCACCCGACAGATTTGCTGCAGAACGAACGCAGCTGCCCCAGGATGGGTCAGCCAGACACGGCAGTTCCTCCTGATGTCGGTGTTTTCCCAACGGTTTAAAAAACCTTCAGTGCCTAAGGGCTTGCAAGTGGCCGTGCCCGCTGATGGGACAGCAGTCCCGGGGTAAAGGGGAATCTTCTGCCATCCTGGCAAAAAATCCAGTTCAGACTGGTCAGCTCACATCCCACAGCTACTCCCCACACCCACAGCGACACCGCAGCTTGTGGGGCAGGGTCCTGCGTTACTGAGCATCCCACCCCACGCTCCTCTCGCCTCCGCTGCAGCGTTGCTCTGATGGAGCTGGAGCAGCAAGCCCCGGGCGATGCAGAGGTGCCCTTCACCCGCAGAGTGTTCTTCTACCTCCTCCCGACGCCCCAGGCCTGCGGAGAGGGGCTCTCAGCCAGAAGAGCCGTTCCTAGCGCACCTCTCACACAGGCCTGTGCACCTCAAAGCCCCAGCTGGTGACGAAGGTGGGCAAGCTCCCACCAGCCGTTCACCGTGCAGAGCCCAGGAAGCCATCCTGGCCAGGCCGGGGCCACGGCTCCCCCTCCCTGGGCTCCCGCTTCTTCTGCCCACGGCTTCCCAGAAAGCATCTCACCCACCTCTGGCTTTGGACAGCCTGACCTTACCACGGAGCGGATGGGATGCGACCAACTCCTGCTTCAGGGCACCCCACACCTCCTCCCGTGCCTGAACCACACTCCCAGTGCTCCCACGATGATGTCCCAGGGGTGGGCGTCCATCAAGGCCATTCAGAGCATCTGCCCCTACGGCCCCACGCTGCCAGAGCCCGGGGGCTTCCCCACTACCGAAGGCTCACTCTGCCCCACTGAACACACGACTGAAACCGGCGTCCTGTCGCTGCTGCCCAGCGTGCCACCCACCCGAATGCTTTTGCAGGCAGCCTCCTTCTCTGTTCCCAAGATTAGTTAGCATGGATTGTGGGGACGTGCTGCTTCACAGGGATTTAAGACGTCTGGCACATCTACCGGATGGAAGCCACCAGAGACATCCCCGTGCAGACCTCCCAAGGGGGTTGCTGTGCTGCTGGAAAATCCAACCTGCCCCGCGTGCCCACAGCGGCAAATGCAGTGGCACTACAGCGTCTGGCAGTCACCGCTGACCCTGCCCCTTCCTGCACCCACCACTGGACCAGACCACGAGCAGCGCTGGGCGCGTGTGCAGTGCCCCTTGTGAGCCTCTGCGGAGGTGCTGCACGGACCTGGCGGGTGTATTTCTGTGCCGAAGCGCGCAGTGCACTGCAAAGTGCACTGTATTTGTGATGAACATTTCAAGCAGCCACACAGCACTGGTGATAAGGTAAGAGCGTTCACGAAAGCAGCACACACCCTTACACGTACGAGACAAAACCAAAACCCCAAGTCCCACCACTTGTCTCCAAGTGTCGCCTGGGTGTTGGAAACCGGCACCAGGCATGGCGGTGTCAGAGCTCTCCATGCCTCTGCTGCCATGGAAGAGCTCTCCCCCTGGGCTCCAGCGAGCCCAGCTCCTGGAAACGCGGACACAGCACTGCCAGCAGACCCAGGGAACAGCCGTGCAGCTGAGTGAGGACCAGCTCCTTCCGAGCCAGTGCCCCATGCCCGTTCAAGAAAGATGACAGCCTGGAGAAGAGAAGGCTGCGAGGGGACCTTGGAAATGCCTCGAAATATCTGCAGGGTGGGGGTCAGGAGGATGGGGCCAAGCTCTTTCCAGTGGTGCCCAGCGACAGGACAAGGGGCAATGG